CCTTGTTTGGAAGTCAACCTCCCACTCAGCGATGGGAAGCATTTACCCATCGATGGGTAGGTGACCGTTGGCTTCAAAACTGAAGGAAAATTGGCTTACCAGCGATGGGTGAGTCTAAACATCGATGGGAAGCCAATATCCTGCAGATCCCAAATTTATTCAATCCCATAAATCAAGCCAATCACCCCTTTAATGTATTGGTCCGTTGGAGCCTATTTTGGCACTATAAAAAGGGGTGTTTGGGTCTGCTTTTCTCACCAATTCACTTCACATTATTCATATTATCATTGCATTCAAACAACATCATTTTCCATAGCTTTCTAGAGCCAATTTGTGTGAAGTTTGAGTTGTTCTTGAGCGTACTTAGTTTACTCATCATCTACTCTTAAAGAGAGTCTTGTTCTTGAGTGTTTAGTGTTGTATACACGTTAAGGGAAGCTTGTTTCCCTTGGTTGTACGAAGGAAAGGTATTTTCCTTCGGGTTGAAGCCTTGGAGTGTGGTATCTCCGAGCAAGTGTTGTTGAGGCTCGTGGGACTCGAGTTCTCAGGTTGTAACGGTTTGTTAAGCACCCGTAAGCTTAACGGAAGTAGTGTAGCTCGAGAGAGTCTCTCGGGAGACTGGATTAGCCACACGTTGTGGTGAACCAGTATAAATCTTGGTGTGCTCCCTTTACGCTTTCTTCGCTCTTTACTTTTCACGTCCTTAATTTTTTTTATTCCTGCGATCTCTACGATCAAACGCTATTCACCCCCCCTCTAGCGTTGGTCACTTATTCTAACAGCCCAAACAGTAATGCCAATAGCAACAGAAGTGCAGGAGTACAAACAACCAACTAAATGCCTAAAAATTAAAAGCGCTATGCAAGGACAATAGAAACCCAAAAGGAGAAACAAAACAAACAAGTCCAATCTTCTTGTTTATCCTGTTGGCCATGTATTGCAGAAGTAGTCTCGTTGGCCTTAGGTGTGAGTCCAAATTCAGTACTTACAAAGACCCCTCTAATTAACGCTTTAACTGAGACCCCACAATTATGCTTTCTCACTTCTTGCCCGCTGCATTTCTGAACAAAAGGTATAGGTTTCGCAGTTTCTATCCAAGTCTCTGAATGCTAATTCCCACTCAATGATAGAGCTAGAGCCTGATGCATATGGCTTTCCAATACATGGAGGTGCTTAGAACAGGATTGCAGTTTAACCACGATAATAAAAAAAGAAACATTAAATCGAACCAAAAATTTAAGATTGCAGATTGAGACACTAAAATAAAATCCAGTGTTTAATAATTGATGGAGAAGAGCACGGATCACTGAAGTGGAGAAGAGCACAGATCACTGAGTTAATAATTGATGGAAGCCAATTACCCCAAGTTGAAAGTCTCTAGGTTTCTTTCATCAATGAGTTGGTTCCTGAGCTGAGCAAGTCTCTTACTTCTTCTTGGTTTGTTTATGACCCCTCCTTGAATGTGGCTTATGAGCTTTTCAAATCTTGCTTGGTTTCTCTTCTTGACAGACTCTTTCTTTGCATGCCAATCCCCCTTACTCTCCTCTTCATCTGATTCTAAATCAGTTTCCCATTCAGAGGTGTCATGTATTGGAAGGTGTCCTTTCTGTGAACAATATTGCTGTTCATAATCGGATCCATAGGCTTTAGAGATATTCCAAGTGTTATCTCTTTCAGTATCTGATGTTGAGCAACCCAGGAAAGTGAGAGCCGGTAGAGGAGATACTGAACTTAAAGTGGGAACCGGATGCTGGGTTATATGTGTTTTAGGAGTAAATTCTTTGGCTTTTGCAGAGAGGAGGGAGCCTGTAGAGGAATTCATTGCAGGTGTTGGGGTATGAGACACTGCCAAGGGAGGATTGGTAATTGATAAAGGGATATTTTTTTGTTCAATGTTAGAGCAAACATCCAACTTGAATAAAGTGGAGGAAATGTACATTGATGAATCAGAGGGAGTGGGAATTGACAATCCACAAACTGAAGCTCTGTCTATGAAAGGTGCAGGAGGGGGAATAGCCCTAGACAGATGTTTAAGGACTAGCTCCAATCTAGCTTTAAAGGATGTAAATCCATTACCTTGTTGGCCTTCCGAGATGAAAATCATACTCCTTCCATCTTGTCTCCTTTCTATGAGTTGAAGAAAAGATCCTTTAGGGCTAGGTCTAAATCGAAGGAAGAGGGATCGCTTAGGTTCTGTCTTGACTGGACAATTTATGGATCCGTCCATGGTGAATTTAGACAACGTATTGAGAAGCCAGTATCCAGCATCCAAACCAAGCCAAATTGTGTGCTTCCTTCTTTTGGAAAACTCAGAAATACATATCTTTTTATTATAAATAGATGTAGAAAGAGTGAATTCCTTCTCAAAAATGGTAAAAACATAGGGATGATGTCTTTGACAGGAGGGGGAAGAAGGAAGTTACCATCGTTCTCTGTTGGTGTCTTTGGGTTGGGGGCCTTCTGAGTGACCGATTCCTGGATAGATGGTATAGTCTCCTTGGAAGAAGGCGGTGGAGAAGCTACTGTCGAGTAACTTATAAGAGTGTCTGCTTTTGCTCCTACGAGTGCAGCAGCAGATCGGAATTCCTGCCCTTTCAGCAACGCAGCTCCAGGTGTTATATCTACGCTCGGGGTTTGTCGGTATTAAGCTCGAACTTGAGGACAAGGCATCTTTAATTTGCAGGATTGGAGGATAATCGATTGTCCAGGTTAGATAATCGATTGTCAAGGGGTTCGGTTTCTCCTGAGAAATTCGCAGAATTTTAAGGGAGTGCTGATAGTCGATTATCAGACTATAATAATCGATTTCTGAGGGCTGCGGGTGTTTCAAAAGAGGACTGATAATCGATTGTCAAAGGTGACGGTCGATTGTTGAAGGTTGCAGGTGTTTCAATGGTGAATGATAATCGATTGTCACTAAGGTTAACCGATTATTTGGCAGAATTCTGGGCAGGAAGAAGGGTGTTTTTGTGGGGGAATGGACTGGAAATATATGGAGATGATGAAGGAGTTCTTTTGGTATTTTTAATGTAAGGAAAGAAAGGAGATTAATGATAGAAATGGTGGGAAAAGAAATGGATAGAAAATAATGATGGATAAACCAAGTTGGTGTTTAAGAGATATTACACACTCTTATCCTAACTTGGGGTTTGAATCTAGAATTTAATAAAGATATGACACACTTAATCAAATATCTAAAACCTAAAACTCACAATTAAGATAACCACTCTTAAGATATAGAATTAGGAATTTAGCTAAAATAGCATCACACTATTTTAATAATACTCAAAGAGTAAAAGATTTTAATATTCAAAAGGTGGTGTTACAATGGCCATAAGGCCTGAGTTATATAGGAAGGGGAAGGGGGAGATAATTCACAATACATTGAATGTAAACTTAGGGAAGCTTCCTTGCAACAATCTCTTCCAAGGCATGGGGTATTGGCCACTCATTCCTGTCTCCTTAGTGGAATAAAATCAGGGATGGGGCTGGGGGTTGTGGGGTTTTGAGTTTTAGGTTTGTAGTGGTTGTTTTCCTGGGTTTTGTGGGTATTATTTGGGTAAGAATGGAGGGTTGTTTTTGGTCATTAAAAGGGGACAGGGCTGGGTATTATTTATGGGTATTTTGGAGTTATGGCTTTGGGTTATTGTGAGGGAAAATATAAGCAGGAAGTAGGGGCTGGAGGTGGGTCATGGTTTTGGCTCTTTGTGGGTGTTGTGTTGGGATTGTGAGTTTTATTTGGGCAGGGAATGAAAGGAAGGAACAGAGGGTTTTACTGGTTTATTAAAAGGCTTAAAAGAAGGAAAATAACAACAAAAAAAGGTTTTGGTTTACACACTCTTATTTTCAGCCATGGCTAAAATAAGAGTAGGAAAAACTTTATTTTGAAAAGGAAACATTTTGGATGTTTAGGGAAGGTATGGGGAGTGTGGGCTCAGCCTAGGGTGGGTGTAGGACAACCATGGTGTTAGGTTGGGTTCTAAGACAGGAAAATGGAGAAGTTTCAACCCAATTAATGTCATCACACTTGGGCTTTATTCCCCTGATCCGTCTTTCCCTTGGCGGGCTACGGAGAGTCTTCGGGCATGGTCCCCGATATATATCACCAGGATATGTGTGAAATTGGCGATTTGGGAAGGAAGAAGATTGAATCGCCGGGTAATTAATCGTCGTTTGGGTGTAGAATGTACCAATTGGCGACTCTCTCTCACTAAGCAAAACCAGACGCTCCATCTTTTTCTCATATATATATATATATATATATATATATATATATATATATATACATATATATATATATATATATATACATATATATATATATATACATATATATATATATACATATATATACATATATATATATATACATATATATACATACATACATATATATATATATATATATATATTGGTTCTGGTGAGAATGCGATCTTAGGAAAGAAATGAGAATGAATCTGGTGCTTTAGATTGTGCGATCTAAGGGTCAGGATTGCATCAAAATTAGGTGCAACAAAATGGTTCGAAAATGCATCACGTCGAAATGCATCATAATCCTTTGAAAATGCACTATCTCAAAATCTCAGCGCAGGATGTAATCTGAGCCGCACGATGCATCAGATCCAACGGCTAGATTTCATTCTTATTTCTCTCCACAAGGTGCATTCTCACAGGAACCGGCCCCTATATATATACATATACATATATATATATATATATATATATATATATATATATATATATATATATACATATATATATATATATATATATATATATATATATATATATACATATATATATATATATATATATAAACATATATATATATATATATATACATACATACATACATACATATATATACACACACACACACACACACAGATATATATATATATATATACATATATACATATATATATATACATATATATATATACATATACATATCTATATATATACATATACATATATATATATATATATATATATACATATGCGGTTCGAAGGAGCAAGAGAAGATGCCGAAGCAAATTCACGATATCAAGGATTTCCTGCTTACTGCCAGAAGGAAGGATGCACGATCGGTCAGGATAAAAAAGGGGAAAGATGTGGTCAAGTTCAAGGTTCGGTGTTCCAAGTACCTTTACACCCTTTGTGTGTTTGATTTGGAGAAAGCTGACAAGTTGAAGAAATCTCTCCCTCCAGGTTTGAGTGTGCAAGATCTGTGAAGGAGCACCACTCCGCATCTGAAATACTGTTTATCTTGTTTCATTACTTTGTTTTTCTAAACTTCCCATCAACTACTATTTGATATTTTGCTACATTTAATGTTTGGTGTTTGTAACACTCGTAGTTGAAATGATAAGGGACCGTTTCTTGTTATAAAAAAAATATATATATATATATATACATATACATATATATATATATATATACATATATATATATATATATATATATCATCGTCGCACCAGACAGGGGTCTAGATTGTGCATCCTGGAAACTTTTTGGCAATCCTATTGTAGAATCTTCAGAACTCACTAAACACTCAATTGCCTCCTCTGCAATATACGCTTCAGCAATTGAACCTTCAGGATAAGCACGATTCCGTACATATCCCTTGAATATTTTCATTTCTCGCTCGAAAGGATACATCCAACATAGCCAAACTGGCCCACAAAGCTCGACTTCTCTCACATGATGAATTGAGAGATGGACCATTATATCAAAGAAACGAGGGAAATGTTTTTCAAGCAAACATAAAGTCTCTACCAACTGGGCCAACAACAGATTCGGATGAGAGGGCCATTGGAATGGAGATGAAGGGTTTGTTCTGGAGTCTGCGCTGAGATCGGATAAGGAGGGGAAGGGAGATGAGTGGTTCTAGTTTGTTCAGTTCATGATAAGAGTCATTGATTTTATTTGGTGGTGGATGGAGGTAGATGAGTGGTTCTCATATCCAAATTGAATGTTGATAAAATAAATAAATAAATAAATAAAATTTTTCAACTTGAGAAATTACTGTAAAGAATTAAAGTATTCTTATTACTCAATATAAAAATTAACCAAATTCTGGTACATATACTATTACATATACCGATAATTAACAATATCAAACGTAGAGTTACACATACTGATAACCTGGTTTCAGTCTTGGATGTTACCAAGATAACCAAACTCTTCAACTGTTACATGTACCGACAACCTAACTCAATCTTCACATGTTCAGGGATAATTACCAATATCAAACGCACTGTTTAATATACCAATAACCCGGTTTCAGTCTTGGATGTTACCAAGATAACCAAACTCTTCAACTATTACATGTACCGACAACCTAACTCAATCTTCACTCGTTCAGGGATAATTACCAATATCAAACGCACTGTTAAATATACCAATAACCCGGTTTCACTCTTGGATGTTACCAAGATAACCAAACTCTGCAATTGTTACATGTACTGAAAACCCAACTCAATCTTGACTCTTACTCGATAATAAACAATATCAAACATACTGTTACATATACCAATAACCCGTTTTCTGTCTTGGATGTTACCATATATAAGATAACCAAACTCTTCCACTATTACATGTACTGACAACCCAACTCAATCTTGACTCGTACTTGATAATTAACAGTATCAAACGTACTGTTACATATATCGATAACCCGGTTTCAGTCTTGCATGTTACCAAGATAACCAAACTCTTCAACTGTTACATGTACTGACAACCCAACTCAATCTTGACTCGTACTCGATAATTAACAATATCAAACGTACTGTTACATATACCGATAACCCGGTTTCAGTCTTTCATGTTGCCAAGATAACCAAACTCTTCAACTCTTACATGTACCGACAACCTAACTCAACCTTCACTCATTTAGGGATAATTATGAATATCAAACACACTGTTAAATATACCAATAACCCGGTTTTAGTTTTTACAGTAGGTATGGTACCAGTATAAGCAAAGTAACCAACTGCTACATGTAACGATAAGCGAAGTCAATCTTTAGTCGTACTCAACTCGTTCCGATGATAAAATTTAGTCTTTAATTTAAGAATAACACTAAATAATATCCTTGTTTTCATAATTCATCCACTGCTCTCGCTGTCCATAATAAACTTTTCGTTACACGTTACAATTATTGATTACAGTTATTTTAAATACTTTTATGTGAAAATTGGTATGAAATTTTTAAAAAAGTTACATTTCAATAGACTATATCAAAACATATGCAAAACTCGATGTGACACAACTTTATTATTTTATCCAATAGATAACAAACATTAGTCAATCAATTCATCCACTGTACCCTGAACTTCAATTCCTACTTCTGATCGCCTCCTCACTCAATCTTCTCTTCTCCGATTCACTTCCCTCTGCGATACTGGAGCCATAACCTACCATTTTTGCCGAGATTGGAGCTAAAAACCCTAAAATTAGGTAAGTTGTAAACCTCAAATCTGGTATTCCCTCCAACAATAGTCACCATATTTGTTTTCCCAAAATTGTCGAATTCTCTAAGGCCTCTTCTCTGCATGCCTCTACCTCGCTACTCAAATCCCCCCAAAGAGGTCAGGGTTAGATTTCTCAATCCATTGAAGTCAAACTTCATTGGTTTGTTGTTATTCTTTTTAATTTATTATCTCTAAAGGGTTGCTTCCAGGATTCAAATCCTCACCATGTAGGTTACCAGAAAGGGTTCAACCAATTCCTTAATTGGTTGAATGTGACCTGAGAGCAGCAATAATGAACATTTTTTTATCTAGAGTCAACTCAATACTCCTTCCATCATTTTTAAAATATATTTAAAAAAATATTAAAGATAATACGCTTTTTTATCTCAATATATTGGTATAGACCTTTGTTGTTTGTGGAATGCTTGACATCAAAATTATTTTACTGTTTTAGTGTCCCTTATCACAATAGCTGCTGAAAATTCACCTGAAAAAACAAATGTGATAACCCAACTAAGAATTGAGGCAGAACCCACCTAAGAAAGGCTCAAGCCTTTCTGGTTCATTATGCGCAGCATTTATTCGATATATACCACGTATAGACTGAAATTTTTCATCTTCTCTCACTTTCAGAATATGGCTAGCACTCAACAACATTCGCAGGCTTGACAAGCAATCAAAAAACCAATTCTTCGATCCTCTCCAATGCAAAAGAAACCTGAAGCTCTTTCAGACCGTAATGAACTGCACTATCATAGTTCCCCAAAACCTAAGCTCCGAACATTTCCCAAGCTTAAAAGAAAACATCGGCCGAGCACTTTGACAGTGGTGCAGGCATTAAGTGGCTCAAGGTCAAAGAACGTGTAAAGCCATTCTACTCCCTTGCCTGTCACCCCAAAGCCAAAGCCTATATGTGACAATGTACAAAAACAGATCAAGCAGAAGAGAAAGCGGGAAGAAGTAGAAAGTGAAAGTGTGGCCAAGCCTTCTAGGGTGGGTTGAAACTTCGGAAATGTGGATGTGTTTCAACGCACCGCGTTGTGAAACGTAAGATAAATGGACAGAAACCAACGGTTTTGTTTAATGATAAGGGACAACCGTATGGTGTGGCTGCTGCAGAGATGCAATCTTATATTGGAGTTTTGGCAAGGACTAAAGCTCCAATATGGTTTGACACTTAGAGGCAAGTTCCGGTAACCATCAAGAACAAGATTTGGAAATCTGTCACGGAAAATATAACCATACAAACACTTGACTAGTCCTTACAAAATAAATGATTTCATCATTAATTATATACCTATGTTTTCCAATTGACTTAGACTAGTAAATTCCACCCATGTTTATGCATATAGTTGGGGTTCGACCTACCCCCTTCTGCACGAAACTTGTGCTGTAGTCGGCCAATTCGAAGTGGAAACAATTCAAGAGTACCCTGACATGTCGATATATTCTTCCCTTTCGAGATGAACCTGAGAAGCTGAGGACTCCACCAGAGGACTTCTCTTTCCTAGAGAAGAATCATTGGGATATTTTTATTGCTATCGTCTAAGCCCCGAGTTCTTGGTAAGACTATGTTTCCATTGTACTTTATTTAGAATACTACCTTTTTGATGCATTGTCCTTTTTCTGCAGAAAGTCCATGATGAGCATGTGAAGAGAGTTATATATATATATATATATATATATATATATATATATAGGGATTGACTCCAGTCAGATGACATCTTTCGGTCAGATGACACTTTCGGTCAGATGAGATGCTTCAGAATGAGCACCACCTTGTTTGAGAATGAGCACCACCTTATTTCAGAATGAGCACTACACTGAGCAGACTGTGAATGAGTACTAGGTTGTTTCAGAATGAGTACTACGTTTATAATGAGCAAATGTGTGAAAGTCAACCCTACGATGTCTTAGAATGAACACTACGTGGATTCAAAATGAACTCCTATGTTGTCGTCTCGCTGGCTATGAGTGAACACTACATNAGTTGTGTGAGAATGAATCCTACGTTGTTTAAGAATGAGCGCTACATTGATTTAGAATGAGTATTCGTTGTCATCTGACCGAAAGTGTCATCTGACCGAAACATGTCATCTGACTGGAGTCAATCCCATATATATATATATATATATATATATATATATATATATATATATATATATATATATATATATATATATATATATATATATATATATATATATATATATATATAGGGTTCATTTTGAATCCACATAGGGAACATTCATAGCCAGCGAGACGACAACATAGGGTTCATTTTGAATCCACGTAGTGTTCATTCTAAGACACCGTAGGGTTGACTTTCACACATTTGTTCATTATAAACGTAGTACTCATTCTGAAACAACCTAGTACTCATTCACAGTCTGCTTAGTGTAGTGTTCATTCTGAAATAAGGTGGTGCTCATTCTGAAGCATGTCATCTGACCGAAAGTGTCATCTGACCGAAAGATGTCATCTGACTGGAGTCAATCCCATATATAAAATATATATATATATATATATATATATATATATATATATATATATGTGTGTGTGTGTGTGTATGTATGTATGTATGTATGTATGTATGTATGTATGTATAGATATGCACAAATTTGACGATCGACGACGATTTTACTCAAATTCCGACAGAAGAATATCTTTTCTGCACAAATTTGCTTCCCATTTCCAACGGAGACAGTGAGATGTTGAGCTCAACAACAATCGCGAATATCTTAACGATTGGCGGCCTAAAAACCCTATTTTGGGTCGGCGTTGGACTTACAGATCCGGCATCAAGAGAGCTTCGCTTGGGGAAGGAAGGCAAAATCAGTCTTACGAACGATCCAGAGGTGGTGAGCAAAAGCGAAAATGGCCATTTAGATCCCCAGACACTCTGAACCTGCAAAATTCATACGTCTACAGCAGCTCAAATTTTGTTGGTAAGACTAGTTCATCCAATTCTTTTCCTAGTAGAAACTCTAGGTTCAAGTTTCACATTCAATTCAAGGCATATGAACTCTTCTACTCCTTCTACAATCACAATATCTGCATTACTAGTCAAGGTAGGAAAAAATTCCACATTTGGTTCGATTTGGACTCTGTACACTCGCTGGTAGAATCTATTTCCAGGCTGACAAATACAAAAACTCAAGGTTTGTATAAATTTGATGAAAATAGAGCTCTCGAGATCTGTCTTAAATCTAACAGTAAAGGGGAATTCATTCGCATTGCTGAGGATCAAAAGGAAGGTATTTCATTTCTATTGGTGCCATATGGGGATAAAGGTGATGGATTTAAGCTGTTTTATAAGGCCTTGAACTCTTTTCTTGAAAAGATCACTCATAAAGGGATGGCCATTCATAGTGAGGAGATCCCACAACCCCCCCTGCATTCAGAATGCCTCTTCCTCCCCAAAGATAAGTGAACCTTTAACAACCTCAACCACTGTCTTTCGTGATGAGCAAGTCTGGACGCAACTCCAATCGAGCACAAAGGACAAGTCAAGAGGCAAAGGAGGGTCAGAGGACTTCTCTACAGTAGAAACCACACCAGCAGACAGAGATATGACTATCTTTGAGGGAGGAGAACAACCAAAAGTCATCATTTCAGACACATACAATGAATTATATCCACCACTCCCAATTAGGAAGTTATCACCATTTGCCCCTGCATTTGTACCACTTTCAAACAACTCTTTTGCTGCTCTGCTTAACCAGGATCATGGAGACCTTGAGGAGGAGGATCCGTTTTCAAATATTAATGAACGGAGCCTGGTTCTATACTCTAATGCAGTGGAAGACCACGAAAAGGAGAGGGATGGGCCCATTCTTTACACCCATTCCGATGGTGAGGATTATGTTTTCATTGATTCTAAGCTTAAACCACTACAAATAGACCTTTCAAGATGCTCCAAGCACCCCTTCCATCTGCGTAAGTCACTAAAGGGCAGAAGGACATACTCTCCATCTCAAATGGTTACTAGAAGTAAGGCTAAACTACTGGAAGAAGGGAGAAGAAACACACCAATTGGCTGAGAAGAGGAAGATGAAATGCACGGTCCACTGGAATCCCATGAAGACGAGGTCATCAAATTCTTCAAGCTATGTTGTCCTAACAAGAATGATGAACCTAAACCTCCTAATAAGCCAATGAGCAAAAGTCAAAAAAAGAAATTAAAGAAGAAAAAGAACAAGCGGCAGGTTACTGATGGTTATGAGGATGCGAACTTTGATCTGAACTATGCTTATTGAGTAATGTTTTCGGTGCACCCATATTAGAATTTAGTTCCTCTTGATTTTAGATCTATACATTTTGTTATATCTACGCTCGGGGTTTGTCGGTATTAAGCTCGAACTTGAGGACAAGGCATCTTTAATTTGCAGGATTGGAGGATAATCGATTGTCCAGGTTATATACACACACACACACACACACACACACACACATATATATGGGAGAGGAGGTTTGGTACCCTTAAATAAAATGCACTTTTTCCATCCAATTTATTAGTACTTTATGCTTTGGCATTTGTATACTTACTTATTATGCCATATTTGTCATGTCTCATGTCACCCACCAAACTCCTCCTTGCATCCCGCCGGTCCTATTGCACCCAAACACCACCGGAAAAGCCGCCGGGAAACTCCAGATCGCTACAGCCGCCGCCCAGGTCCCTGCCCATCTTGCTCCGGCCACCACACGCAGCGGCGACGCTCCAAACTGCTCCCAAACGACTCCTGGCATCCATACGACTCCATCGCGACCAGTCTCACCTGACTTGGTTGCCGGAAACGCTAGATCGCCGCCGCGACCCGGGCCGGCGGTTTCCGGCGGGTTTTCGTCAATTCCGGCCACCTCCGGCACCTCTGACGTCGCGCAACCCCACCAGGAATCTTCTAAGGTCCATACGAACACAAAGGAACCATCAATGGCACCAATTGAAGCCGATTTGAAAAAACCCCCAAATTTGGATCCTAGGGTTTTTCCGAGCTTAAAAACCTCAATTCGTGATGTTCAAGGCCAAATTGGGAAAAAGGACTGGATATTCGTGATCCTCATGCAAAACCGGTTCGTTTGGCGTTGGTTCCGCCCGATTCTGTTCCGGTCAATTTTCCGGCGACGGCCGCCGGAGCTCCGCCGGCGACGGCGGCGCCGGCCACCGTCAAAATTCCAGAAGCTCCAGTTCCTCTTCCTGAGTCCAAAAAGCATACTACCAGCCTCGCTCAAGTTGTTTCGGCTTCAAATCGTATCAAAGTTCCTACGTCCGTTACGGAGCCGCTTCCCGATCGCGAGGTTACCGTCCATCGGGGCATGCCCGCTGTTCGATTCATGCAATCAGAGGTCAGCCAACTAGCTCTCATTGACAAATATATTTTGGTTGGCAAATTCTCTCACGGGCAACCCAAACTGGAGGTAATTAAGCACTATTTTTCTACTCATTACGTCTTTTGTGGAACTGTTTCTGTTGGATGGCGGGATTCGAAGCATGTTTTTATTATGTTCTCCAACTCCCACGATTGCACAAATATGTTACTTGAAGGCACAATTATTTTCAATGGGTTACATCCTATGCGTTTATTCCGATGGACACCTGATTTTGATCCGGAGTTTGAGACCTCACTGTCACCTGTTTGGATTTCTTTTTATGGTCTCCCTCTGCATATGTTCAATTTTCATGCGTTGTCCTTGATCTGTAAACCCATTGGAAAGTTGCTGGGTGTGGATAGCGTCACCTTGGCCAAGGCAAAGCCACATGTGGCTCGGGTCTGTGTAGAAATGGACTTGCTTATGCCTCGGCCTAAGGAAATTTTTGTGGGCACTTCGGAAGTTGTGGGTGAAGAGGATTGTGGTTTTGTTCAGCCGGTAGCGTACGAGAAAGTTCCATATTATTGTGATTACTGCTGGCGGCAAGGCCATTCTCTGGATAGATGCAAGCTAAAGGATTCCGAACCCCAAAACCCGACGCCCAACCCGCAGCCCAAACCGAAGCCTTACCCGAACCCACTTCAACCCCTCAAGCCCAATAATCCAAATCCCAAACCCCATTTACCTAAGCCCA